GCAAAGACTGAGGACTGAAGGCGGCTCAGGCCGGAGTGAAGGCCTGGGTTCCAGGCGCCAGAGGAAAACTGCTGCTAGCCACCAGGGGAAGGGGCCCCAGGGGGCCCCAGACTGCGAGAGGGCACAGGCCGGGCTGAGGGACCCACCCGAGTGCACAAATTTTTGTGCACCGGGCCTCTAGTATATGTATATAAGTCTAAGCGACCTGTCGTCTGGTTGCTATGGCGTGCACTCACTACAAGGGGGCAGATGCTCAATGCAGGAGTTGCCACCTGGTGGTCAGTGCACTCCTACAGCAGGAGCACCACTCAGCTGATCAACAGGCACCAGATTCAGGTTTCACAGCTGGCAAGCGCAGCTGCAATGGCACGAGCCTCTCCCGCAGACACTCTACCTGAGTCCCCCTCCCCCATCCGGACCTGGACCAGGATCGGGACTGACTGGGCATGAGCCTGCAGCTGCTTCTCGGTCGTGAGCGCGTGCTAGTATCACCCTAGGATGAGCACGTGGAGACCACAGTGGCATGGCAGTGAACCTTGCTTGGCGCATTACTACATCCCTCGGGGGATATTGGACTGCCGGTTTCTGCCCGATCCCTGGCTGAGGGACCGCACCGGTGCACCAGGCCTCTAGTGTATATACATTCAGAAATAACCATTTCAGGAAATATTCTCACTTTGAGTATATGACAGACATTTTCTATGCTATGCTCTATGAGTTCTAAAGGTGTTGTCTTTGATCCAATAAACTGAAAACCAAGATAGTGGATGTTGGACTGCCGGTTTCTGCCCGATCCCTGGCTGAGGGACCGCACCGGTGCACCAGGCCTCTAGTGTATATACATTCAGAAATAACCATTTCAGGAAATATTCTCACTTTGAGTATATGACAGACATTTTCTATGCTATGCTCTATGAGTTCTAAAGGTGTTGTCTTTGATCCAATAAACTGAAAACCAAGATAGTGTAGTGAAAAGCATGGACTCTATAGCACAAGATTGATGGGGTGATGGGATTGGAATCTTGGCTTTTCCCTTTTCTAGCTGTGTGAGCTTGATAAAATTACTTAACTTCTCTGTGCCAGCTGTAAAACGAGGGAAATAATAGATCTGCATCATAAGGTTGTTATGACAATGAAATGAGTTAAAGAATGTAAAACAGTGACCAGCACTTAGTAAGCATTATAAAAGTGTTAGTTATTAATATAGTGTTCACAACCCACCAATATGTCACAACATTTGAAAAAACACTTTTTTGGATGACTAAGACCAACCTCCTTTGCCTGCCACCTTACCTTCCAACACACACAAATTAGTAAATAAAACTTAACTTCCTTGGAGGCAAGTTCAGTAAATACTTTTGTTTTATAAGGAGGATGAAATAACTATATTTCCTTTTAAATCCTTAAACATGTCCTTTTAAAATGTAATTGTAAATCTTTCATGGAGACAAGGTCTGATCTCTTGAAAATCCAGAGAATAAAAGGAAATCCTCCCTGGGGTGATGTTTTATTCATTGGTACAGTGCCTTGCATTTAATGCATTCTCAAAAACTATTTGTTTAAAGTGTTTGGAAACCTTATTAGAATAGTGTTCAAGGATAGCAATTGATTCATATAGATAATAACTTAACCACTTTATAGTTTACAAAGAATTTTATGTTCATTCATGTCTTTAAATCTGTAAGTCCATTTCCCCAAATGTGTCCTATAGAATGCTAAATTGATACTAACGATCTGAGACTCTCAGAGAGTCATAATGTACAGTGAAGTAGTTGTAATTTGCCAAAACATATAACCCCAAATTGTACTGGTTCAAATGGAATATAATTTTATTTGTCTCCCACAAAACAGTCCTAAGGGGGTTTTCTCAATGGTGAAAGGGCACTTGCCACTTCATTCTGGGACCCAGGCTAATGGAGGGTCTGCCATCTTGACATCCGAAGTCACTGTGGTTATCACCATTCCAGCTCATGGGAGAGGATGAAGAGAATAGAGGAAGCTATGTAGGAGTGGAGTGTCACACACAGCCTCCCACTTCCTTTCATTTGTCAAAACTCAGTTGCATGGTTACACCAACTGGAAGGAAGGCTGGGAAATGAGGTCCAGTTCTATGCCCGGGAGAAACGAGAGAGTAAACTGTAATGACATAATAGAAGAGTCTGCAAACACAGTAAAGATCTGTTGTAAAAATTCTTCTTTAGCACTCTGTATCTCAGTGTGGCCTAAATGCATTTGCTTATCAAACTCTTCTCTCCCTCAACATATTGCAGACCAGTTGTTTTATTGCTGGCTTTACCCAGGGGCCAGATAAGTTTCCATTGAACAAGTACAAAAAACGTTTTATGTGCATGTTAAAGGCACACTTTACAATTAAATACCCATTGCATTTTGAAGTTATTCATTATATGTTCTTACAAGCTAATATCTTTTTAAAGTATGATGCTTTGTAAGACACTGTGTAATATGAACCGAGAATTCTCGTGATCCGTCTGCAATTTAAGGTCTATTAACACACCAGAAAACAATACACTTTGGAAAAGTCTGCTGATGGGACATCTCAAATCCCAAAATGAAAAGAAACCAAGGAAGACAAGGGAAACATTTTAAACTTTTTAAAATATTGATTTTAGCACAAATATGGGAGAACCACAAAAAAACAAAAGTTCAGTTTAGTCATCAAACAGCCATTGGCGTAGGAGGTGGAAACCTGTCAGTTGCCCACAAAGTGCTTCACAGTTTCTTCCTAATTATAACCTCCTCACTTCCCTCAAAGCCAACTCTGTGGTGACTTCTATGATCATCTTTTCCTTTAGAACTAGGATCTGAGTGACTAGACATCATTGCTTAGCTCTGCCTGTTTTTATAATGCCTTCACATCTCGTTTTATCTAATTTTCTCCTCTCATTTCTTTCTCCTTTTTCCATATCCTATCTAATAAAAGACAAAAATGGTAATTGGCGTACGACCGATACCCTTTTCATTGGCTAATCAGCGAGATAGGCAAATTAACTGGCAGCCAAGATGGCGGCAGGCAGCCAGGCAGCTGCTGCGAACAGGGAGGCTTGCTTGCTTCAGTGACGGAAGAAGCCCAGCTTCCCCCCCCACCCC